TATTCATTATTTTCTCTTGGGGCACACGGTGGAGCAGTGAGTAGCAATGTCACCTTACAGCAAGAAGGTCATTGGTTCGAGTCTTGACTAGGTCATTTTTGTGTTGAGTTTGCATGTTCTCCCCGTGCTGATGTGGGTATCTTCCCGGTGCTGCGATTTCCCCCACAGTCCAAAAAGTAAGTAGGTGAATCGAATAAGCTAAACTGTGAATCAAAGTGTATGGGTGTTCCCCAGTGATGAGTTGCAGCCTAAAGGGCATTCGCTGCGTAAAACATATGCTGAATATGTTGGCGGTTCATTCCACTGTGATGACCCCTGATTAATAAAGGGACTAAGCTGTAAAGAGAATCAATGAATTTTTTTTATTCTATTTATTATCTATTTATTATTTTGTTTTATTGTATTTTAAAATATATAATAATATGATTCCATAATATGATTTATGCATTTCATTTAAATTTGCATTTTGATAAATTCTTGTTCATCTATTAAAAGGCAGCAAGTGGATTACTTACAAACTGTAGTCCATTACAGATTACAAGTTACAAAGATGAAAACTATAGTAATACCATATATTTGGAATCTGATAACTTTTAAACTGAGCCTGATCGCAAAAACAATTGGTAAATAAACACAGTGAAAGCTGCGAACATCTCAATTTTTTATGTCCCCAAATCATTTATTATTATTTCTGAAAATATCAGGACGCAATTGATAAGAATTAAAAAATTTGTGGCAGCTGATATACAGTGCAACCCTCTTGACAACTTGAAATGCAATAAAAACGATGTTGAGACTACATGATTAATCAAAAATGGAGTTTAAAATGGGATAAATCTTAATGAATTCAATCATAAAATCTCATTAAAATGCAAAACTAAAATCTTAAGAAACAAACACAGTGTTATCTAAGCATTTAAAACATATTAATAACTCTCTGGATATACCACTAACTGTACTCAAAAAAAAAAATAAATAAATAAAATAAAAAAAAATTTACTAATACTTTCCTTCTTAGACTTTACAGACCTGAAACTTGCCTATAGCACTTATTCATTGTTGCTCTTATAGTTGTGTAAATTGCTTTCTTGTCCTCATTTGTAAGTCACTTTGGATAAAAGCGTCTGCTAAATGACTAAATGTAAATGTAAATTAATTTATCTAAACATTTTCACATAAAGATGATTAGATTTTACAGTTTAGCAGCAAAGAACATGAAAAACTTCAAATCTCAGAGCACTAGTTCACTCAGTTCATCGTGTTTTCGTTTTTTCGAGAAAGTCTGGCGGTCAGATGTGATTCTCAGGAGCTATTCTGTTTTACCCTGATTGTGTTAGGCAGGAAAAAGCTGATCAGGGAGCAGTTTTATCCCTAGGCTGATGATAAGATGAGGAGATCTGGCTCCAACAGCAGCAGCAACACGAGCGTTTTGAACCGTACGCAGCCGCTCAACGCAACCTCCCTCCCCCTGCAGCACCTCCACACATACAGCACAACACATCAACATCCAGCGACCCTAGAGAAACAGCACTATCAGTGGCGCTCAGCTGGTCACTATTTTAAAAAAAACTGTTTGGCTGGAACTCGGAGCACAGCCCAAGCCGAGAACAGAGCGGTGCCATTCTCCAGGGGTTGAGGGGACTTGGAGCCTTCACAAAGACATTTAGGCATCAAGTAGAGGAAAGGCAAAAAAGCAAACCTTTTATAAGGATCTTATCACAAGCCTGTATGAACACAAGAGGAACTACAGAGGAATCGACATCACTGAGCGCTTTCCCAAAGCACTACATTACCCAAGACATCACAAATTTTTACACGCTATTGAAGACTAAACTTCTTCTATCTGCATTAATTAAAGCCAGCCTGATAACTCTATTAGAAGCTGCTGTTTCTAATGTTGGAGCACCCTTGGAGAACATTTCCGAAAACAACGCATCTGCCAGGAGCTTCTTTATTTCTGTCTACATCAAAGGCAATTAATTCCTCAACTTTTCATTTCTGCCTGCTTAGCTTCATTCATGGCAGTTTTCGCCAAAATGAGGTGTAAAACTGGTTTATATTAAGAGCAGAATGCCTAAAGTTTATTATACTGCACAGTTGAGAGAGTGGCCGAGCTAATGGTAACCGATGTTGACTGAATTGCCAAGTTGTCAGTGTTTAACTTGAAGCATGATTAAGATACCAGGCGTGGAAGAATACAAACATTAATTTCTCTCACGGTCATTTACTCACTTGCACAGAATGTCTTTAGTCGCTTCATCAAATCTGCTTGTTCTAATTAGAGCTCAACACTCAATGAATCAATAAAGAATTTCCTCACTTTTGCTCACCGGGGTTGCGAGGAAAATTAATTTAGTACAGGTCATACTGTGTAGTTTGCACAGCTCTTCGCTGAATCATTCATTTGTATGCAGATGCATTTTACTAATTAAGAGTTAAAGCTACTAATTGAGAGTTAATTAGTAATTGTTATGGAAGGCTAATATACTGAATTGCCTTTAGGGTGTTTAGGTGTGTCATCTAATGAATATCACAATTTAAACTTCCAAATATTGATTTGCAGGTGGAGTCACTGTGGAACAAAAGTTTTCAAGGGCAGTGGAAAAAAATGAAGAGTAAACACTAATATTAAATTGAAATTGATATGGTTAAGGGGTGGCGCGATGACGCAGTGGGTAGCACTGTCCCCTCACAACAAGAAGATGGCTGGTTTAAGCCTCAGCTGGGTTAGTTGGCATTTCTGTGTGGAGTTCTCCCTGTGTTTGCATGGGTTTCCTCTAGGTGCTCTGGTTTCCCCCACAAGTCCAAATTCATGTGGTACAGGTGAATTGAATATGCTGAATTGTCCGTAGTGTATATGTGTAAATGGAAGTGTATGGGTGATGGGTTGCAGCTGGAAGGCCATCCGCTGCGTAAAACATATGCTGAATAAGTTGGTTCACTCTGCTGTGGCAACCTCAGATTAATAAAGGGACTAAGCCAATAAGAAAATGAATGAATGAGAATGTAGAGATTAGAGATGCACCTATACCATTTTTTGAAACCGATACGATACCAAATTCATGAGTAATTATGAGATACAGATTGGATCCTGATACCTTTTTTTTCTTTTTTGCAGGTCAAAATGAACCCATTTAATGCAAAACTAAATGCATTTATCCACTGGTTATTTAAACTAATATTAACAAATAGTCTTGGAGAGTTTTGTGTTGTCATAAACGAACGCGACACGCAGTTTGAATTGTGAATGAATGAAGAACGATTGACATACGCAGTAGAGGGAAGTGCTGAAGTCAACATGATTTAAGCATTTGGATATTCAGCTGTACTTAACATTAAACTATCCAATGGCTTCAGAACATTTGGGATATACAGTAGGAGGCCTACAGGACAACTTTCTAGTGCCTTATATTAGGCTACCTTTATGGCTTTTGTTGGCTTATAAGTTCCACAGAATTTAGCGTACAAACAAGATCAAATTTGGATTGGTACCAAATAAGCGGTATCAAACCGATATCCAATCCATGTATCAAATCGGTGCATCCCTAGTATAGATAAATATGCACACTTAAAAATGGCTAAAAAAACTGGCTTTTGTTGACCCGCCTATTTGCCTATTCATGCAACAGGATATTTTGGAGGGAAATGAAAGATGACATGCTTTTATTCATTCATTCATTTTCCTTGGATACCCTCCTCAGCCCCAGCTCCATCTAAAGTATGTTTAGATCTGGGGGTTACATGTTTATTATTGAAGGAGCAGTGTGTTATATTCTCAGACTGCATGTCTGTGAATCCACTCTCAGAAATAAAGGTACGCGAGCTGTCACTGGGGTGCTACCTTTTCACAAGGTATAAACTTGTACCTAAAAGGTCCATATTAATACCTCAAGGGAACATATTAGTACCTAAAAAGTAAAAAAGTAAAAAAACATTCCTCTTAAATGTTTTTAGGTACTAACATATACTTTTGATGTACCAATACAGACCCTTTAAGGATAAATGTGTACCTTTTAAAAAGGTACCACCCCAGTGACAGCTTACATACCTTTATTTTTGAGAGTGTATACTCACAGTAGAATGCCTCTATACTTCCATTATAACCAAAGCAGCAGCGTAGCAGGTCTATGCTGCCAAGACCAACACCCATTCAAATTGTTCAATTGATCATTTCATTTTTCTTCGGCTTAGTTCCTTTATTTATCAGGGGTCGCAACCATGAACCGCCAACTTCCAGCTGCAACCCAGTACTGGAAAACACCCATACACTCTCACATTCACACTCATACACTATGTATGGCCAATTTACTTTATCAAAGTCTGTAATTTACTTAATTTAGTCTTATTAAAAAGCTGTGACTTGACTTTTTTTGCGGTAAGGCGACATTCTTTTATACTTATGGTAAAAATATACAATGCAAAAGGAAAAAACAAATGTCTTTTAGGGTATTTTTTTAAACTTTTGACAAGAGGAGGCTTTTTAAAAATGATCATATACAGAACATTGTTTCAAAGAGTAGTTTTAGCCTAAGAAGAAACTTCTGAGGTAATAAAGAAAAAGCAAGTACACTATAGAAATTTCCCTGACTTCTCTATGACCTTTTAAGGTTTTATTAATTTGTGAGTTTTTTTCAGGTCTGGAAATAGCACTTTTGAAATAGCCTGATATTTCTAGTACTGTGGGAACTTTGTACATACTCGACCACATGCAGTGATGATAAACACAGCTTGTGTCAACCGCAATGAATTCTGAGAGCACACAAAAACGCAAGAACCAAACATAAACTGAAATAGTCAATTTATCTACTCGGTCTACCTCAGAAAACCACATGCCCATTCAAATTGATAGATCATGTTTTTTTGAGCCAAGTGGATATTGACAACAACTTCCAAATTCCATATTTTTTTGAAGGAAAAATTTTATCAGAGCTGCCAATAGTTTTCTGAACTGGCTGCTATGTAAACACAAAATATGACTTAAAACCAGATTCATCACTCACCTTAGAGTGAATATTTCTACCGATGAAAGGGTTGAGACCGCAAGGAAGGCTGACACCGTCTCCCTCTGCCTGATAGGTCTGGAGGGAACCATCACCACAAAGTTGCTGTCCAAACGTAGCTCAGAGAGTGGTTGAAATAGTCTAACGCTGCCAATCCTGCGCATGGGTGTTGGCCCTGAGAAGTAACCAGCTGGGCCCAGTTGCCCAGTGCGGATGGAGTTAGTCTTGCGGGAGTCCTCCGAGCTGCATTCCCCAGAGTCTGTGAATTGTAGCATGTAGTACAGCTCCACAGGAGTGCCTTCAACCATCTCAGGTGATCTCTGTCGACCTGGTATGACACTAGGGGGACTAAACCAGCTAGGCAATGGCTCCAGCTCAGCCACGCACAGCCCAAGTTCTCCTTTCAGACGACAAGTGCCTCGTACCTCTTGGGTTTCGTGAAAGGCAAACATCCTGACACACGGCAACTTGTCCACAGCGCTATAGTCATCCCAGTCCCGGCCAACAACGTAGAAGAGAACCTGAACCTTTGGCCAACTAGGGTGGATTCGCTCACTGATAATGAAAGTCTGGACTTTCCAGTTAAAATTAAATACGGGAGACGAAGTGGATGATGGAGATGTGGATGAAGGGTTGTTAAAGAGTCCCGGTCCTAGAAGGTCTGATGGAACAGGCTGTTCCACATACATCGGTCCATAACTGGCATTGACAGATGGCATCTTTCTGGCCTGCTGAATAAAAAAGAGCTCCGTACGAACCTGAAGGCTGGAGTTCCTCATGATGTCCTGGTTGGCCTCCTTTAAGAAGAAGGCAGACTCTGCGTTTAATACCTGGTATCGCACTGGAAGATACGTTGGAATGGGACCAAACCTCTGCAGTCCTTCCATCAGCATCCGACTGTCGATGGCTGTGGAAAAGACAGAAAAGACATCAGTCATCCACATATCAAGACCTCTAAACCCGACCCAACTACTTGCATGCTCTTACATGATCTAAAGCAAGAGTCATTTGTCTCCCGCCCCATTCTGCAAACCCATCTCTAGGCAACTGGACTCTTTTATTGAATGCCTTAAACCAGCCGTTCACTGCAGATATTTGGGGTGATGGAAGGACCCATGAGGCTCTATTGATTTTGCGTCACAGCGCTAGTCTGAGAGAAAGAGATGCTGGAGATTTGTGACAGCTGGTGGCAGACAAATGCTGCTGGTGCTTAAGGCGGACACTACAGCACAGCAGGAAGGCGCTTATATACCATTGTGCAACATGAAGAATTTTGTGCTTTGCATATAGATTGAGTCTGAGGATGTTCTGCTGCATTTGTGTCCAGTAAGTTAACTTTGTTTTATTATTCTTTTAATGTAATCACATGTAATAAATCAAATGATCTCATGAATATTGAGTTTATATAGCGGAATTGTTTTTGTTTTGTTTCAAGGGAGCCAGATATTGAGAAGAGTAATGCAAAATGTCAGTTAAAAAAGGTGGGAGTAAAAGTTTACTCAAAGCCTATTTTCCTGTGGGACTTAAACATTATTCTTTTTGGCAGCAATAAAGAGGAGAGGGAAAAAAGTAAGAAAGATAAGAGAAAAGAAAGAGGAAAATAAATAAATAAACACAAAAGAACACTGAACGCTGTGCTACACCAGACTGATTAACTTAAGTAAAATCCCGATTTCTTTTCCAAAGCGCTACCTAACAAAAAACTAATTCATTAAATTATAGACACCGCTTCTTTCTCTTGGAAACAAACAGAATATCACATCTAGTCATTTGGAAGAATCAGATGGCATTTTTTGCACAGTAAAATGGCAGTAAACCAGCAATTCTTTGTCTCTTTGTTAAACAAAATATTCAGCCAAAATATTATGTGGGCCACATGCAGGGAAATTACAGTGAAACTAGTGAACCTTTGTCTAAACTTACTAAAATCAAATACTGAGCTGTAAAAAAAATGAATAAAATAGTTGAAGCCATTGCATTATTTCAGCAAATTATTGAAAGTGTCATTTTAAAAAAAGTGAATATTAAAAGACACAGACATAAAAAATGTTTATCTACAAATTCAATAATATATTTAGATGATGTTAACAGTATCTGGATACACATATATACACATGCTTATACTTTATGTATATCGATAAATAGACATTAGGGCTGGGGGATTAATCGAAAAGTTATCAAAATCGACATTCAGAACCTATATTCAATCAAATTTTTCCAGGTCAATTATTTCAATTACTTTGCCTACCATGTGTGGAGTCATGTGACCCAGCTCAGTTAAGGCTGATTTATACTTCGGCGTTGAATGCACGGGTATGGTTCGGCGCAGCCGCATACCCGCACGCATCTTAAAGGTGTGGTCCACTACAATATCATATTTTAAACTTTAGTTGATGTGTAATGTATCTGTGTGAACATAAACAACATCTCTGAATGTAATACACTCTAAGTTCAATGCAAGGGGAGACATTGGCTTTTACAGAGTTAGCTTAGCAAAGCCTACAGCCAATTAAGTTTGGGCACTACAAAAAAATATATACAGACTAGTGACATCACAGGGGCTTCTGGTTACATGTATTCACCACATGTATACACTCAGCGCAGCGAAGAAGCACGGCCAGAGGCGCTGTAATGTTATAGCAGAGAAAGCTAAAATGCCGTCCAAAAGCTATTTCCACAGAGCATGTTCTGTTTCTGTATTTAAGCTTCCAAAGGACATGACACTAAGAGAGAAGTGCTTGCAATTTAATTTTAATTATGTTTCAGAGAATTCAAAAAAATAAAGAGCTAGCGTCAGGCCAGAATTACCGTAGCAGGTCAGACAGGCCGGTGTTCCCTATGGCCAGTCCATACCTGGCTGTATATATTCAAATTAAGATATATGAAAAAATAACGTAATATTGCTTTGCATCTTATAAACACAACCAAGCCTTAAAAATATACTCTGTACCACCCATTTAAAAAATGTGACTGTACATGTCTTGAGGCGACATATTTTCTGTTGCAAAACAAAAAAAAAAATTTACAAGAAAATATTTGCTTACAGAAGATGCAAGAAATGCACTGATTAAAATATTATTTTATTTTATATTATGTTCTACTTTTGAAAACAAATAAAAATAATTAGTTATTTATATTAACTTTTTATAAGAAAAATTGACTGTTGGTTTTAGGTAATGTGTAATTTAATCTCAGTTGTTCAACGTTGTTGTTCAATAAACAACCACGGATAGTAGATAGTGTGTGTTTCCGTCAATTATTTTAAAATCAAGCAATGCTCATTCAAAAACATCTGACTAGTAATATGAGCATATTTACTGTACAAAACTTCTCTGTGAACTAAGAGGGCAGAAAAATAAAATAAATAAATAAAATAATCGTTCATTAATCGCAATCTAGGTAAAATGTTCAATTAATCGAGATTTTGATTTTAGGTCAAGTCGCCCAGCTCTAATAGACAGACAAACAGATTTTGTAGCTATATACTGTACTGTACATCAAAGAAAGAAAGACATCTCCACAGGGCAGAAACAGTCTGTACTCTCGAGCAACAGAAAAAGAGCTAACAAGAGACACACAAGTGTTTCATAAGCAGCTGAACATGCATGCCTCCCCTTGTCCTCAGAGCCAATTACAAGTGAGAGTGCAAGACTGTAGTGACATATCTAATCACTTCACAGCAATTGCTCGATCCCACCTCGGTATACAAGACCACCTCCCAACACCAAACCACCCACACACAACAACACACACACATTCTGAAAATACGAACAGAATTTGCATGTAAATTTTTAAATCTCAGAGCTCAAAACTAAAATCAATTGTAAATTCATTCATGACTATGTAATAAAAAATGGAACAAGTTACACTTTTATCGCAGCTGGATCAGTACAAGCAATCCTTTTATTCTCTGATATTAGCATAAGTTCATTGTAAACTGTATTCGATGCTTAATTAGCAGTTGAGACGAGATCATTTGCTGGGGTTAAAAGAAAATAGTGTCTATAATGCAGATACAGCTCAGGCTTTTACAAATGCTCTTAAGTATGTCAAGTATGCTCCTTCACGGAAAAAACATCTGAAGGACCCTATGAATTTCTATTGAGATAAATAGTTGAGCAGCCAGGTTTACAAAATCGGATCATATACTGTGATGATGTGAAGTGAAATCATGCATAAAAAAACGCAAGATTCTGTCACCGTTCTTTTGCAAGACAATTAATTTTACATCATACTTGAATATTTTAATTAAAAAAACACAAGTGTTTCATTCTGTAATACGGACCAGAAAATTATACTCCAACGTGAAAAAGGTTTATAGCTTTCTCAGTTCTCAGTGATTTATGTGTGGGAAGAGATCATTCTTCATTTGAGTTGGTACGCAATTTTATAAAAGGCCCAGGGTTTTCTTTTATGGTTACATTACTCTTCATAAGCTGACTCTGGTTAGCAGAAGACACAAGAATTAAGGAATGAACTTTAAAGTCACATTGAAATATACACTGAAAAATCCATTAGCTTTTTTTTTTGCTTGATGGTCACTTTTAAACCAGGCCCAATTTATCCCCAATTTACCCATCCAGAAAAATCTTGTCCAAGGCCCTCAGGCAACTCAGAATATCTGCCTAGATTATCTAAATATAATCATTTATATTTATAGATCAAATCTTTATCTGCCCACAAATCTGCCCCAATCATATTGCATCAAAGAGGTTAGATGTTTAGGACATTAAGGATGATAATTAATATGCTAGTGTATGACAATCTTAAAAAAAAACCTATCCACAACAATAAAACAAGCTGCAGTTTGAGTCCAGTGCTTCTCGACTTTAATTGGGCGGGCCACCCAGGTATAACGATCGCCAAAGTATATTTGTTGGTGAGACATGAATAATACTATTATTATCATACTAGTACACTTTTTTGTATCCAAGAAAGCCAAATATTCATGAACAATCAACCAGTGCCGCTGGTTCTGTGTGCGTGAGAATAGGCATGGGCTGGTTTAAGACGGTATGATAACGTTGAATAAAAACCTCACGGTTTCACGATTTCATGGTATTGTGATTATTGCTCTGAAATATATTCTTTTTGAATGTCTGGGTAAAAGGCAAAAATCTTTTTTGAACCAGCTTTCTTTGAACAATATATTTTTTATATTATATTATATTATATTATATTATATTATATTATATTATATTATATTATATTATATTATATTATATTATATTATATTATATTATATTATATTATATTATATTATATTATATTTTGGAGCAGTAAACATGTCAGACTAAATAATTCAAATGAATCATTGACTTCTGCTGACTTCATTTGTTTCAAAAACAAATTTCTTCAAAATTTAAAATGGCATCTTTGGATATATTTTCTGTTGCAGATACTGTTCTCCTAAAAAAAACATAAATGTAAAATCTTACACATAACTTAGGATGTTGGTGGTTTTAAAACCTAAAAAAGCGGTATACTTTGAAAATGGTTATCATCCTATGCCTATCGAAGACACATCAACACTCACACAGACAATCTAATGTGCTCTGCAGACGCATAGAGACGTGCCTTTTGTGCCAAAATGCGTCTGGCCGTAGTTCCAGAATCTCCTAAAATGTCTGGGATTTGGATTTGACTTTTGCTTTCTAAAGTTGCCGCTATTTGTATGCATTTTTGCATTACCTTTTCGCAGCTGACTGCACACACACAGCCGCGAGAGAAACATTGATTGATCATTTAATAAATAACTCAGATAAACTTTACTATTTAATTAGAGAGAACAAAATATAATAACTGCAAAATATATGACACCATTAGAAATGGCTAATCAACTAATTTGCCTTATTTAAATAATCTGCACTTTTTATTCTAGTAATTATTATAATTTTAGCAATAATT